CCCCAAAACCCCAAAACCCCAAAACCCCAAAACCCCATATCTTAAATCTATCATTGAAATCATTATAATTCTTCAGAGCTTTCTTCAGATCCTGGCTCGTCCTTGGTTAGTGTCTTTTTATAGAATTTAGCAATCAGAACTCTGACTGACACAACGCCACCCTGGTAATTGTAAATCCGTCATCAGATGGACCACTGACATTTCGCATGGTTGGCTGTCATAAACTCGCCTCATCTTTCTAGTAGAGCAGCCTTGATGCGTTCGGAGTCGAAGTAATTGAACATCGAAGGCTGGATCTCTATGATATACTGCAGAGGGATTCTTTTCCGAAGGTCCACCAGACTCTGTCTCTTCAACTTGTGAATGTCTTCTTTGCTGTACCTTCCAGCACTTTCATCTTCTAGGATATCGAGGTATCTTTCAAACCTTTTGATGGTGATCCGGTCCTTATTTAATTTTGGTATTTCTATTTCTAGCACTTCTGACGTTGCGGAGACCCATTTCTATTGTAACACAAATGTCATCATGCTTCTTTTTGACTTCTTCAGGAGTGTAAAGCTTGTTAAGACTTTCAAGTTCGTAGAAGGGAGAGAACATTCTCATGTAGTTCCCCATTTCTTTGAAAATTTCAATGGTGCCTTTATCATTTTTGCCTTTGCAATGACTGTACTCATCATCTCCAGCGTCGTCGTCTCCTGGATCTTCATCAGCCTTTGTGTCTCCATTTTTGGAGAGGAGTTCTTCCTCTGATTCCTCATCTAAATTTGATCAGGGAGTCGCTTACCTTCGGAACCTGATCCTGAATTCTCTTTCTTGGCCTTCTTGGGTTTCTTGGATTTGCTGAAATCTGTGTCATATATAAACGGCCGCCACTGCCTCTCGCGATGGAGGTTGTAGAATATGAAGTTCGGGTGAGGATTCTGGAAGTTGGCCCACATATTCTTTGCATTGAAAATCAGGTCTATCCTTTCATAAGGTATATCTTCTTCTTTCGGAATGATGACTTCTCTGTTTGCTTTGATAAACTCATTTTGCTTGAACAAGTGCCTTTCCTTCTTTTTCTTGTCATTCTTGGCCAGACGTTTCTTCTCTTTCTCTAGGAAGGCGTTCTTTTCAACTTTCTTTTCTTCATCTTTGTTAGCGCCTTTCTTGACTTCCTCCTTTTTGTAGGTGTTTCCAAGCAGTTCTAAAATTAGCATTGATAATTACTCCTGTTCTTTGCATCTTGGCCCTCAGGGTTTCCGATCAAGTGAACAAATTTACCCCGAAGATCTTGTCTCAAATCTTGCAGGCTGACTTTAATATTGCCCAAACTAATACTCGATTCGCTAAGTTTGTCTTCTTCGAAGGAACTAAAGTCCTGGCTTTCTGATAATATCAAACATAGAGCTTACCAAGTCTTCTGTTCTGATACTCCCTCGCTTTGAGAAGGAGCTCGTTGACCATGGTGAGGTTCTTATGCTCTCCCAAGTGTTTGCTATCTTTCTGTTTGGTCTCAGCTCTCTTCTTGGCTTCGTCCTCTTTCTTTTTCTTCTCCTCTTCTTCTTTCTGTTTCTGCTTTTGAAGCTTTTTAAGTTTCTGTCTGAACTTCTTCTTCTCCTTGACAGTAAGCTGGGGAGACAGATAGTTCTTGAGCCACTCAGTTTCGAGATAGTTGATTCTTCCTTCAAGCTTGTACTTGACTGGCTTAATGGGGTCCCAGAAAGTGACTTCATCAAAGTTGCGATTTATGGTAATCACCCACGCATGCTTTCGGCCTCCATTTTCTTGGTTGAGCCGCCCAAGGCACACAAAAACTCTGTTTTCGTTTGGTGTTTTCTGGTACTCTGCTCTGAACTTAGCGAGTTCAGCTCTTCGCTTCTTTTTGTTTGGGTCTGCAAGAATCTTGAGGTATGCGTCAAGGTCTTCGTGGTCATCAAAAATGGTCCCTTGGAACAGAGATGCCATCAGTAGTGCATGATCTACAACAGAACCTTTGCGGAGCTTCATGAAGAATTCAGGCGAAGACCATACATGGTAGGACTCTTCAGTCCCTCTAAATGGAATCAGTCTTACGAAATGAGCGATCTCTGGAATCGTCAAGATCTGTCTCTCCCTTGTGTCAATGTTTGTGTGGTCAAGGTAGTCCAAAGCAAGGATGTCGGGAGAAGTTATCTCTGAAATATACTTCATCGGCAAATGCTTATTTCTGATACTGATCTTGGAAGTAAGGGTTCATAAACTCACGATCATTTTTAAGTTCTTCACTTTCAAAGTTCTCTTCGATCTTAAGATGCCAATCTACGAAAAATCCATCATCACTCTCAAGCTTCTCTCTGAGCTCGTATGGAACGAAGTCTTCCTTCGGGTCGTAGAGCTTAGACAGGTCTACTCCAGGATTCGGAATCTCAGGTTGGAACCACATCCCGAAATGGATGTAGCAGTTTGTAATGTCATGAAAGGCAGATTTAAGATTCGCTTTTCCGTTGTATGTGCGAGTCATAAACCTAACCTTCTTTCTTTGATTGGAGTCTTTGAAAGTCTTCTCATCTGCCTCAGCAGTGTAGAGGTTGTAAAGTCCTGCATAAGCAGTCCCAACGTTGTCGTAGTTGTGGTCTCCATAGTCAACCCAGATGTTGAACCGGACTGAAGATTTCGTCTTCAGGTCGTTGGATAGAAAATCTGTGAGTTTGTTTTCATCATCTTTGGTGTCAGAAGTCATAGGAATGTTGAAGTGGAATGTCTCATTGATCAAGGTGTCCCTTACAACTTTGCTCTTGATGAGGATACCTCCCCATTCCACTGTTGCGAAGATCCCGAAATCACCTTTGTCTTCGAGAGACGAGAAGACGTCAAGCTTTTGGAGATGGACTACGAGGTAGAACTCATCAACTAGGACGTCATCTGCAAAGTCTCTTTGAAGATATCTTGGCTGTTTTGGAGTTCGGATGATTCCTCTCAGAGCACATAGCTGATTATTTGTGGATTAAAACTTCTGTTTTGAGGATATTGGTTAGAAGGAAACTCCTCAAATTGACCATCTTCTCACCAAATTTCGTGCTCCCAATCAGGTTTGCCCTGTAAAACCTGATGTAAGCCTTTTGGCTTAGAAGTTGATTGTAAGTCCCTCTGAAGCGAAGCCCTGACTCGAATTTAGTCCAATTGGGACTGAAGTCATTCTTGACTGTGATTGAGTGAGTACTCGAATAATCCTTTGTGCCACTTGTCAGAGTAACTCTGCAGAATGAATCGACGGTATCTCTACTTTGGTTTGCATCATGTCTTTTGAGATCATCAGCATGCCAGTCAAGCATTGTGATGCTGAAATCCCAGATCTCTTCAAATTTAACTTTAAGAGACAGATTGGCGACTCCATCCATTCGCTTGCCAACTGGTTTGGACAGGAACACTTCTCTGTTGATCGACCCATTGACTACATCAAGTAGAGACAGAGATTTGATGCCAAGGAATCTGTTGAGTCCCCAGGTGTTCCATGTCCATATTTCAAAATGAAGTCTGTTTCGCATTATTTCGTAGTATGTTGCTCTGAATTCCGTGATAATGTGGGTGGTATAGGCCCCAGACTCTTTATCGTTAAGGTTATTTAATGACATTTGACTTGAACACTTTGCCGATTTCTCCCTTTTCTTCTTTTGCACTACCTCCGGAAGTGGTCTTTTTGAATTCGATCCGGTAGTCACCACCAATAATGAACTGTATGAAGGGATTGATGGTGTCACCAGAGAGGTTCTGAACTTCGGCATTGTAAATTTCCACTCGCCATCTTCGTACTAAATTATTCTCAGCATTTTCCTTTTCTGTAACTTTGTCTGATAACAAGGGTCCTGGAGGGTCATAGAAGGTGACAATTCTTGATTTCTTGAGCTTAGCATTAATTGGATTTAGCTCAATTGCATCATCATCTTCTTCCTCTTCAGCTTGTTTCTTCTTCTTGATTTCTAATTTTTGTTCTTCTGTAAGACCTTTTCCTGGATCCTCTTTACCTTCTCCTTTTTCTTTGTTCTCTTCAGACATTTTGTTTTAAATATATAATCTTTTGGGGTTTTGGGGTTTTGGGGTTTTGGGGTTTTGGGG